GGGAGTGACCTGCCGTGCCGTGTGGTGCCCGGAGCCAGGGTCTGGTAATGTCCCCGCGTTGTGCAGTTAGCGCGAACCTGCGTTTTTCTTTTTAACAGTGTAAAGAGCCTCTTATCTGGATCGTGAAGCCGGCTCTGGGTTGTCACCGGGGCTCAGGGCACGGGGGAGAATCAGATGTGTGACGGAGAGGTGCAGCACCCGAAGGGCTGCACGTGCCTCCGCTTTCTCACATGCTCCGCTTTTGACGGGTGGGTCCTGCACAGCACTGAGGGCAGCGTCTGAGCGCGGTGCATCTCCGAGACAGGAAGCTGAGCTCCGCACTTTTGCTCTCGGGCCCTGCAGAGAACCGCTAAGAGAAGGCTGGTTACCAGCTGGGATGGATTTCCAGCCTTCAGCAAAGGGTGTGAGGTGACTAAAGAAGGCTGCTCATTTAAAAAGCTGCTGCAGTACGAAGGGCCAGGGAGTTACCCCAGGCAATAGCCTGTCTGTTCTGAGTTAGTTGGTCACAGTACACCAAAGCTGGGCTGACTCTGGACCCTTCAGGTCTTTCAGGGTAGTGATGCTCTTGGTCATATTGTCAGTCTTGATGTGAAGGAAGACTTGGGCTGGACTTTCTCAGTGAGTCTCAGTCCTGGGCCTCGTTCACATGACTTAGGACTTTGAAGGTCTGTTGCTGAGTAACTGCTGCCTCTTTTTGCATTGCTTGATATTAAGGCTATAGCAAAGTGCAGGGACTTGATCGACACGTAAAGAAAAACAGCCACTTGTGCAAACAAAGCGGAACTGGGGCGAGGTGCAGATGGCAGCAGAGTCAGAAAAATGGTACAGTCACCCCAGAACTGGGGTTGCTTGTTAATTGGGCAGTGAAGAAGAGGCCACTTGGCTTTTGTAACCCTTTATTGTAAGTACAGGTCCAGGGTGCGGTAATACACGTGTGGACATATTTTGGTCTGTAGGTTTACTTCTGAATTAGTAGTACATCTGGAAGAAAAACAGGAGAAGGAAAGTGCTGAGTAGGTGCAGCTTAGAAATAAATTATGGCAAAGTAATGAAACTGGAATTGCAGGAAAAAAATAGTCTGTTTGAACAGCAGTTACCAAGGCTTCATAGATACAAGTGAACAATCTTCCCTGGGTAAATTTTGTTGGGATCTTCTGTAAAGAGTCTCCAGCTTAGAATATTTGTAAACAAAAAACAAAAAAACAAAAAAAAAGAATTTTACATGGCTGAGGTTTCTCTCCTTCAGCAGAATGTGCTGCTCTACAGCACATCTCCCTGCTGTCAAGCATGTAAATTTTAATTAGATAGCAAGTGTTCTGGTCAACCAGTATTCCAACCAATGCTTGGAAAAATGGAAACAATTGGTGCTTTAGAGCCTGGCAGTAAGTAACTGCTTCTGATGTCAAGTGTGATTCTTTAGTTTTTAAATGCTTGACTAGGCTTTTTACTTTGTAAATCTAGGTACTTAATTTTTCTTAGGTTGTGATTGGCTATACTTGCATCTTATAATGACATTTATCTTAAGCAAGTGGGGTTCTTATATTGTGTTATGTCTGGTGAAATGTTGCTGTTTTGACAACTGTTTCACCCTTCCTCTGATACAGAATGGACTTTGTCTTCAGTGACAGGTCCTGCTTATGGATCATTTTTGAGTACACAAGGAAAAATCTCATGTAGCTGCCCTGTTAGGAAGTAAAATTTATACCCCTATACTGAAATTGCCAAGTAGTTTCTTACATCCCAATTCCAGGTCTCTCCTCAGTTCCTGCTAATTCCCAGGTGTTTAGAGGATTATATTTCTCTAAAGTGTTCTAGGGTTACCTGATGCTAGACCCTGTGCTTTTGTCTTTTGCGCTTTTGGGAAAGGGCTGGGGAAGATTCTACAAAAGCCTTCTAGTGTTCTGTGGGAGCTACAGTCTGATTCGTAATATTAATTAATAATAATAATTAATTCATGGGCTCTGATGGGATACACCCATGTGTGCTGAGGGAGCTGACAGAAAGCATTGTTAGAAGGCTCTCCATCATCTTTGAGAAGTCCTGGAAAACGAGAGGTGCCTGAGGACTGGAGGATAGCTAATGTCACTCTAGTCTTCAAGATGGGCAAGAAACAGGACCCGAATAACTACAGACTGGTCAGCCTCACCTCCAACTCTGGAAAGATGATGGAGCAGCTCATTCTGGGGGTCACCTCTAAGCACATGGAAGAAAATAAGGTTTTCAGAAGTAGCCAGCATGGATTCACCAAGGGGAAATCATGTCTGACTAGTCTGATAGACTTCTATGATGATGGGACAGAATAGATAGGTGAAGGGAGAACAGTGGATGTTGTCTTCCTTGACTTCAGTAAGGCTTTTGGCACTGTGCCCCATAATATCCTTGTGGATAAGCTCAGGAAGTGTGAGTTAGAAGAGCGGACAGTGAGATGGATCGAGGACTGGCTAAACAACAGAGCCCAGAGGGTTGTGATCAACGGTGCCGAGTCCAGTTGGAGACCTGTGACTAGTGGTGTTCCCCAGGGGTCAGTACTGGGCCCAGTCTTATTCAACATCTTCATCAATGACCTGCGTGGGGATGGAGTGCATCCTCAGCAAGTTTGCTGATGCCACAAAGCTGGGAAGATTGGCTGATACACCTGAAGGCTGTGCAGCCATTCAGTGAGATCTAGACAGGCTGGAGAGCTGGGCAAAGAGGAACCTAATGAGGTTCAACAAGAATAAGCATAGAGTCCTGCATCTGGGGAGAAAAAGCACCATGCACCGATATAGATTAGGGGTTGACCTGCTAGAAAGCAGCCCCATGGAGAAGGACCTTGGGGTCCTGGTGGACAACAAGTTATCCATGGGACAGCAATGTGCCCTTGTGGCCAAGAGAGCCAATAGTATCTTGGGAAGTATAAAGAACAGTGTGGCCAGCATGTCAAGGGAGGTTCTCCTCCCCCTTTTCTCTGCCCTCTGCACATCTGGAGTATTGTGTCCAGTTCTGGGCTTCCCAGTTTAAGAGGAACAGGGATATACTAGAGAGAGTCCAACAGAGGGCTACAAGGATGATTAAGGGACTGGAAGATCTATCATATGAGGAGAGGCTAAGAGACCTGAGGCTGTTTAGTCTGGAGAAGACAGAGAGGGACCTTATTACTGTCTCCAAATATCTGAAGGGTGGATGTCAAGAATGGGCCAGTCTCTTTTCATTGGTGTCCTGTGATAGGATGAGGGGAAACGACACCAAGTTACAGCACAGGAAGCTCCACCTCAACATGAGGAGAAACTTCTTTACTGTGAGGGTGATGGAGCCCTGGAACAGGCTGCCCAGAGAGGTTGTGAAGTTTTCTTCTCTGGAGACTTTCAAGACCTGTCTGGATGCATTTCTGTGTGATCTGCCCTAGGTGTTCCTGCTGCAGCAGGGGAGTTGGACATGATGATCTTTAGAGGTCCTTCCAACCCCTGAGATTCTAAGGACCTGAAATCTAAAGGTCTTCTGCTCTGGGTCCTCCTTCGACTTACATTTCTGCTATGGAGCGCTAAAGTAGAGGCAAAGAATGGAGCTGCCTGCCTGGCTGTGAAAGGCACATGGGGTATGTGAGGAGTCTGGTCTGCCTCTCCAAGGGATAAGGAGGGTTTTGGCAAGAGCACTAGGCTCTTTTCCAGTGTGGGACTGTAAGGATCCTACTAACAACTTCCTTCTTCCACGTAGTGTCACTCTAGGATTTATTTTATGCCTAAGGGGAAATCCCCCAGTGCTGTCTAGTAACAAGCTCTTCTGCTTCTGATCTCAAGCACTGCAAGTTGACTGTGAAGCCAAACTGTGATCTGTGTAGGGACAAGTGAGGACACTTGGTGTCTTGCTGGCCCTGTGGCAGTAGCATCACTGCTCTGTGGGAAGATTTGGATTTGGTCCGTAAGTGCTTTGGAACTGCTCTTTGGGGACACTGTTGCTGCAGGGCATCCCCAGGAATCTCACATGAAAGGCATCACAGTGTTTGGCAGCAGTGGAACATAGGTCCTCTATTCCCCCAGGGCCACGAAGTCTCTGAGATCTGGGAATGCTGAGGGGCTGACCTGGGGGGCTGTGGATGCTTCTTCAGCATGGGGTGCTGGCTTATGGGGCTGTTGAGCTGCAGCAAGGAATGCTTTAAGCACACTGACTCATAGCAGTTAGTGCCTGTCGTTACCATAGAAATCTGATCAGCTGCTAGGGGTGGGGAGTCCTTGTCCCTTGGCTCTGCTGCTTCGTGGTTCCAGCATGAGCTCATGGTGCAAGAGAACCCAATTTCTTTCTCCTTGTCCCTTTCAGATCAGGGAGGTCAGACATCTTTTGCAGCCCTGAGTGGAGAGCTGGGGTCTCTGGGTCTCTGCTTGGCTATAGTGATTGGACCATGTTTGTTTGCCATGCTCTCTTGGTGATCTGCTGCCCATAATATGTCTTGCTCTTTCATATTTCTGGAATCTAATTTCATTTGCTTAGCAACAGCTACCAGCCTTTTGGGAGCCCCAGAAAGGTAAAAAGTGGTTGTAAACTGGTAACAGATAAGGGAGGACTGGAAGCAGAAGTGATCCAGAGAGATAGACTGAATATGCAATTTCCTGTACTCTCAAAATGCATCCCCAAACTTGGTCATGACCATTTGCCCCTAGCACAGAGGTGATGCCTTCCGATGCTCATTCTCTCACAGTTTCTGTTCTGTGTGCCCACATCCAAGTGACTGTTTCATCATCTTCTCTGGATAAATATACACATTCGAGCTCCAGGGATGGAAGATGCAAAACATTGTTACCCCCCTCCATTCCGCTAAAGGAAATAGCTCTACTCTGAATATCACCTTTCCACATAAAGACGTTGTGCCTTCTCAGATAATCTTTGAACCCTTTGCTCTCCTCATAATGCAAAACAAGGACTGTCCTGTCTTGGCAAACAGCATTACAGAGAGTCTTGCTGCTGCAAAGTGTCATTTTGTTTTGCTACAGTTCCTTTTGGCTTACTGCCTGTTGGCCTCTGAATTACTGTCCGTGTGGTCTGTGTGAACAATCCAGATCTATGTGCTTATCCTTTCTAGTGTTTCCTTGCATATACAAGGAATGCTGACTTTCCAGGATTCTGACTTTAGAGGATAACAGATGTTTCCTATGAGGTCATCCCTAAGAACTGGTACAGGTGCCATATACTGTGCTAGTTCAGTCCTGAGTTTGACATTTCTTCTGCTTCAGGTCAAAGTGAGAAAAATTTGCAAGCAACAGCAGACACACAGAGCTGTCTGTTTCTTGGACCCCTTTAATTTCTCCTCAGTATTACGGCATGCTTGGTGAAAAGCAATATGATGTTAAGGAGAGAATTGCTTGCTGCTTGCTGTCATGTTGGAGAAAGGATATGCTGGGTAATGCTGAGAAGACATGAGGGATGCATGACTATTGTTCTGCCTTACCAGCTCAGCCTATGAAATCCTGTTTTAAGAAGCTGTTCACTTCTGTGTTCAGATCCCAGCACATGGAAGCACCCACTTCAGTGCTGCTGAGAACTCTGGCCTTCCGTATGGGTAGAAGGGGGGTTTGATTCCTGGGAAAGCTTCCAGCGTTGAGCCAACTGTGGAAACAGTTGGGCTTTGTGCCAGCCCTTCCAAGGGAGGGGGAGCTCAGAGCTGGTACAGTGAGAGTATCAGCCAGGGGCTGGTGTAGCCTGTCACCTTCCTCAGCGTCTCGTTTCTGTGCCTGTTTCAGGAGAGAAACTACTCCAGACAGACCTGTGGTCAGGCGGAGGCTGGCTGAGAGGGTTAGTACAGGCTCCTGATGGCCATTCTGGCCAGTTGCCACAAATGAAGCTGACATATGTCCTAACATATGTCAGTGTTCCTGGCTTGGAGGAGGAGATCCTGCCTGTGTTAAGGGGGAGGGGAAGTATGATCTTTGGATAAGAAAAGATAAGGGAGGATTTGGGGAAAATCGGTGAGAAGAGAAGGAGCCTTTATGGGGAGATAAACTTGTGATCTGTATCTCATCTAGCAATCCCTCCAGTCCTTATTCTAGACTCTGCAAAACAAACTGCAGTATTTGGGGACCATGGCTACAGACCCACTCTCAGAGCTTCAGGATGACCTGAACTTGGATGATACCAACCAGTCCCTCAGCCAGCTCAAACTGGCCTCCATAGATGATAGGAGCTGGCCAGCAGATGAAGCTCCTGCTTTTCCTAAATCAGGTAAGTATCCTGCTTGTTTGGGGTTTGGCCAGAAATGAATTGTTTATCCTGCAGTATTGTGGTCATGTCTGCATATACAGAGAGCCCCAGCTCCATTTGAAAGCTTTTATAGACACATTACTCTTGCACCACACCCAAGTCAATTAGCCCTGCCATTGAAATGCACTAAAAATCTCAGAGCCAACTGATATAAATATACTCTTCTCAGTCCTGTGGCTTGCTGCACTTCATTGCTGACAGTACAGACATGCTGTAAGTCCTTATTTGTCTTCTGTTATGGTTTCTTGCAGGATAGTTTGGCCTTCCTGAGTGGAAGGTTCTTGAACTTCCTCATAGGAGGTGGGGCTCGAGATCTGAGTTGTTGCTCTGAAATCCTGTGCTATGGACTGCTGCCCAGATTGGTTGGGAAAGTAGCTCAAGGGTTTATACAATGGTTGTGTGTCAAGAGATGATGTTAAGATCCTCCTGCTCCAAAAAGCCATGATGGTGCTCTTGGCACATGGGTTTTGGTCTTTGTAAATGTTTGTGACACATCTGAACAGTAATTTTTAAAAGGGTGTACAATATGAGGGACATATTTGAACCTCACGGGACTGACAGGTCTCTTCTGAAGTCATAACTATTCTTGCCTCCTCAGAATTTCAACAGTGGCTTTCTAAGGTGGACATGTGCATGCATTAGTCCCTCCCATGTTGAAGAACCATTTTTTTCTCATCCCTCTGTCTCTCTATTTTATCCCTTGGCAAGGAGCTTCAGATCCCTTCTTCTAATTGCTTGTTCCTTGTGTTTTGTGCAGAGGACTCCAAAGGCTCCCCTGAGCCCATCACTCACTTGCAGTGGAATGATCCCTACTATGATATTGCCAGGCACCACATTGTGGAAGTAGCAGGTAGTGTTTTCTTCTGTTTTCTCCTTTGATGTCTTTGCAGTTGGCCTGAGGAAGGGTCTTTCTAATGCGACTTTGGGGGCACTGGCTATGCTCCAGGTCCAAGTGGCAATGACAGCTGGCATTGTAAAGTAAAGGAGCATCAAATTTCTTGAATGTTTGTGATATATGCAATTTTCCATTGACCATGGTGAAACTTGGATTCCTTCTTGGCTCTTGCTCTCTTCACAATTAGTGGGACTTGGTTGCTTTGGCTGAATTGGTTTAGATATGGCCCTTGACTAAATCCTGAGCACAAGGTGTGGCCTTTGCGTGGTAATGCCACAGAAATTACCTAGTTGTGCAGTACAGCTGCAAGGTCCTCAGCTGACTAAGTGGTCTACAGTAGATCTGGCATCTCTCTATTATATCTGAATGGCCAGAGCTTGTCATCCTGCCCAGAAACAGCATTTACAGAAATCTGAAATAGGAGGAATGGCTCGTGTTCCACAACAAGGGAAGACCTGATCATTCAGGGTCACAGGCATTCTGATTTTCTCTGTATGGTTGTCTTATCCATATTAGTTTACTTACAAACCTTGGTGATTTACTGCTGGGATCTCTATAAGAAGGGAGTTTTGAGGGTAGTTTTTAAGTTGCTGTGTTAAGTCTGAGGAAAAGTTAATCCCAGTTTGTCTTGCATTCCTTGTTTAAAAAAAGAAGTGCTTCAACCTGTTGAGACTTGATTTGCTCTTTGTCTTTGATTAACTATAGCCACCTCCTACCCTTCCTATTGCCCTTTCTTTGTACCTCAGTCCCTGCCTTACATGTGAATTTGCAGCAAAGCAGGGGCACAAGCTGGTGTCCTTCTGATTCAGGGTTGTTCTGCGGCAGGGTTTGACCACAGGGGGAAGATTCTCAGGCACTTGCCTTGGTAAGAGTTTACCTGACAGCATTCTTTTCTGTTACACCTTTTGGGGAACAAAATTACAATGGCAAATTCAAAACTACCTTGTGCTTTGTCTCCTCTGTGCCTCTAGCTGCTCAGGTTGACAGCCCAGATGTTTAGCATTTGGGGCATTATGTCTTGTATATTTGCCACAAGTGCTTTCATTTGCAGATGTATTACTAACCTTCTTTTCCGTGGGACTGAAATTTCAGGGCTGGGATTGATAGGGGTCTGTACTCTAGTCTCCCTCTACTTCTGAAACTGGGAAGGGACTGAGGTGTGGACTCCACTATTTCAGTGATAATATCTAGAATATTTGGAATTTGGATGACAGAGGGAACTGGTGTGTCTGGACTCTGGGAGCTGGTGAGTTAAATGATACTGTTCACTTCAGACAAACCTTCAGACAAAGCACTCAGCAGAGGGTTTAGATCAGAGACATTGATAAGACTGGAATGTCAGCCCAAACCCAGGATATACTTTGAGCCTGCCTCCTGACCTAACCACAAGTCTTTCTGCAGGATTCCTATTCCAAAGTAACATGATTTTTTTTTTCACAGTCTCTCTGAGTGAAGCATCACTCCAATGGAGGTGTGTCTCAGTGGTTGTTGGAAAGCAGCCATTTCACAGTTGTCTAGGGTAGCAAATGTAGAATTATCTAACTTCCTGAAAAGATTTTGGAGTGGTGTGATGGCTGACTGGAAAGAGCGCCTGC